TCAGCAGGTCATCTTGATTTACACAAAAAGGAGTAACAAAATACAGAGTAGCAAAACAAGGGGTAACAAAATACAGCAGTGGGCTATGGATACACACAAACAAAATAAAATATGTAAAAACCAAATAACCAGTCACCCAAAATCCATAAAATACCACATTCACATACATACTTACATTCCACCAAAAGGTCAGCCGCTCTATGTCAGACACACCGCCACCAGCACCATCAGCATCTATAATGCACCATCTTGTCAGAATTCTCATAAATGACCTCTTTAAAGTATTGACACAACAGAATTCAACAAGATTTCAGCATATTTACTTACATAAGTCCAAAATAAAAATCAAGCTCAGTCCAACAAGACAGGGACCACAATGCATTTGGTCAAGCTTTGGCAGAACGTAAACATCTCCTTCCGTACTGCCTTCTAGTGGCCAAGGTACTAGGTGACATCAAACTCCAGTATCCCACTGTAGGTTACTTTTACATAAGACCACCAAAAGTGAACGATGTTACATTAACAGATGAACCATAAACACTGAATGACAATTTGAACATTGAAAACCTTCAGGGGACCCTCCACCACCACCAGTGGGAAAACAATTTAGTTACCTCCCTTTTGTACGTTTACCACCCGGCTACATATATATAGATCCATCAAATGTGCTTCATTTTTCTTGTTTTCTAATGTACATTTCTTTGTTTGTTTGCACATTAGGTCCTTTGTTCTCTTGGCCTTATATTGTTTACTTGCCCTTTGCTATTGCCTTACATGAGGATATTTACATACTACACATATTGAGAGCCGCTGTACCAGAGTCAAATTCCGCATGTGTCTAACACACCAGGCCACCTTCTTCCACCTGCTCCAGTCCTGATGATGCTGATGGTTGTAGGTGCTTTCAGTGGTCGACATGGACGCTGATGGGTCTACAGCTACACAGCCCCATAATGAGAATCAACTGTGACGAACCGTTCTTGCACCTCTATCAGAAGCAGCTTTAGGTTTTCCAGTATTTTGTGCCACAGTAGCTCTTCTGTGGGATCAGACAGCACAGGCTAGCCTTTAGCCACCCATGACCCTGCTGCCGGTTCAGTTGATCCTTCCTTAGACCACTTTTGGTAGTTACTAATATATCTGCTGTGTGATTATGTGTGAGTGAGAAAAGTGGTCCACATGAACATGACAGATGAACTTGATAAATAAAACACGCATTTATTTACACAAATATTTTCAAATACTAGCTTTCTACATAAGGACAAAAATATATACAGTGATGTAGGGACTCAAACTGCTCCGTTCTCATTTCAGTTTACTTGTTCTGATTTATTTGCATCTTAAGGTTTTGAAATGAAAAAAAAAATGCATATATACAGCAGGGTCCAAAACTTACACTTTCAAACTCTGGCACTAAAACACTGGGGAGAAATGTTACCCTTTAAGTGCTAATCAACATTTCATCTTCCAGACTTCCCTCAACATGTTGGTGAAAACCGGTAAATGGTATTACTTATTACATAGGTTACCCATGTCACTACAGTTAACAGAACTGAACCTTCCTCCAACACTAACTGCACTTCTGTTACCTCGATAACTGTTATATCATGTTATCTTATTCACTAGAACACACATTTTCAATCTGCATCACAGCATCTCCATGAGTAACAACTAGGTTTGGTCAGTCTTCCTCCAACTGAGTAAACTTTGGTTATTTCTTGAAGTAACTCAAGGAACTGGAAAGCAGCATGTTTAAGAAATTATTTCTTTGAGAACCTGAATGAACCTTACCTGGCTTCTGAGATCCGAGAGATCATAATACAACACTAGAATCCATCCAGAACTCCAGAATATTTCAACATAAATTAATGACAAATGACCAGACAAGAGTTGCATTATCAAAGACAGGTGGATCTGGTTTGGTAAGAAAGGCAAGACGCTACTCAGAGAAAGTGTTTCAGTGTCACTGTGTTCACCAACATCTGGCACCAAACACTTCAAAACTTCAGTGAACTGGCGGGTGTTTGGACTCATCTCTGGAGGTAAATTAAGTGTTCTCATCTGGTCTAGTTTTCAATGATGCTGCAGTAGTCAACTATACAGGATGAGCTCCTTTTGGTCCTGATGGCCAACATCTTACCTTTGCCTTATGAGGATGTACTTATTCACCAGTGCCTTCACTACTCAAACTACAACACACATGGGTGAAGAGACCCCAAAGATGGCACTCGCTCTCACTGCACATACACACACACACCCCTTTGTATTGACTACGGCTTGTGGGAAAATGAAAGAAACACCTGTATATTTCAATTACACAGACAACTACTTCCGATGTCAGGTTAACAAAGTCGTTTGAGAAAGGCATGAAAAAAAAAGTTTTTTTCCTGTTCTCCAGCCAGGAGGTTGGTGAGGCATAGTCACACTGAATTAGGTTGGACGTGGTGAGAGCTGGCAGAGCGGCATCGGTCATCGGGGGGGGCAAACGTGGATTTGGATGGGGTGTCACTGTGGGGCGCCAGCGGGCACCGGGGTGCTTAGGGCATTGGTGGCAGCTGACAGGACTGGTGAGCCAGTGAGAGGGCCCAGGGCAGTGGAGGCTGGTAAGGCAGAGATACCTGAGGGACAAGAGCCAGAAAGACCATGAGGAAACTAACACAGCATGACTGCATGCGTAGTCACCAAACAAACGTGCAAAGAGGATGAGCTAAACCTGGGCTGAGCAAATGTACAAAAACCAACATGGCTATGGGTTCTGTACTTTAATTTAAATTATGCTTCAAGATCTCAGCAAGTTGATGGAAGAAATTTAGTGTCATAGCTGTACAGAGCCAATGCTAAGGCTTGGTATCAGGAAGAGCCATGCATAATTTAAAAAACTGGTACTGGCTAAAATTAAGCAGATCACATTCACATCCTTATTTACTTTTACTCTACTGCTGTGTTTTTTTTAACCTATGGTTTAGCTGTGTTCTCTCTCTCAGACATACACACCAGCAGAGAAAAGGTTATATTTTACTTGAGTCAGCCACAATGTTTGCAAACCATACACGCAAAATCCACCAGTAATGATGAATGAATGATTAATTTATCAAATAGCTGTTGAGTAAGTAGAACACAAACTTGCAAAAATGTAATGTCATCACTGCTTTGCCAACATTCAACTGCCGAAGTCTTCTGTTTTATGCTAAACCAGTCGAGGTGTGTTTACATTGTGCTTGTTATACTAGTTTTAGCAAACTATTGTCACTGAGCTGAAAACAAGTTAATTTTATGTAATTGGCACGACTGTTTATGGAAATTAGTTCAATTTGTGTAGACGGTTGAGACTGGCCATCTACTCCTCTCCACCCATCTCTATAGCATTCTCGCTGTGTGTAAACATACAGTCAGTACAGAAAGTATTCAGAGCCTTTCAGGTTTTTCACATTTTGTTATGTTTCAGACTCATCTTAAGACTCAATTTTTTGCTCATCAATCTACACACAGTATTCCACAATGAAGTTAAAACAGATTTTTGAAGTGTTTTGTAGATGTATTAAATATTCAAGACTGAAAAATTCCATTTACATAAGTATTCAGAGCCTTTGTTATGACACTTGCAATTGAGCTCTTGTGCTTCCTACTCCTATCAATGGTCACCGAGATGCTTCTACAACTTGATTAGAGTCCACTTATGCTTAATTTAAAAGTACTGGATATAATTAGAAAAGGCACACACCTGTGTACGTAATCTCTTACGTAATCTCTGCCAGACTGAAACCAAAGCTATGAGGTTGAGAGAATTGTCCATAAACAGGATTGTGTCAAGACAGATCTGAGAAAGGATACAATGAAATTGCTGCAGCACTGAAAGTGCCCAGGAGCAGGGTAACCTCCATCATACTCAAACAGAAGAGATTTGGAACAACGAGCAGTCTTCCTAGATCTGGCTGCCCAGCCAAACTGAGTTAATCGAGGATAAAGGGCCTTGATCAGATGTGTAATCAAGAACCCACGGGTCATAATAGGGGTTTTTCCATTATAAGACCCTACTGAAACTTGTCGAGCTGAGTAAGACTCCTCACAGGTGCTGTGTACCCACTTTGGAGGCGTGTTCCAGGAGTTCAATTTCAGCAGCCTCAGGAGGCAATACCAAAATCATGTATTGGATCCAACCATGTCTCAGCAAATAGCCAATGTTAAAAGATTTGGGTTCAAAATCCTGATCAGGACAATTCTACCTAAAATATGATAACATTATGGATTAAGTGTGATCCTGCCAAAAACAGTTTTATGTATAAGTGTGTGTGTGTGTGTGTGTGCGTGCGTGCATTCACCAGTTATCATGCTGGCTGTGCTAACAGCTGTGCTTCCACTGGGCAGGCTGGGCGGGGCCGCCACACCGGAACGGTGGACTGTGGGAACAAATATAAAGAAATCACTGATGTTATCTTTGCTATAACTGGTTTAATTTCATTCTTAGATACAGTGGCTGATTGTGATGCTTACAGAAGTACGGGTGATCCATGGCCTCGCGGGCGGTCAGCCGGGCCTGGTGGTCATAACGCAGCAACTTATCCAGGAAATCCAGAGCCTCTGGGCTGACCAGGTGCTGGTTCTCACTGTGGACAAATCGCTCCCACCGCTTGCGAGAATGCCTGTAGGCAAAAATAATAAAACACACCAAATTCTAACATCAATTAACTCAAGATAGTGCTAATCACAGTGACGACTTGGGGGAAGAAACTGTCCTTGTGCCTGGCTGTTTTGGCGCACAGTGACCTGTAACGCCTGTTAGACACCTGTGATCAAACACACTGAGCAGAATATGATGAATATTTATCAGAGATGATCTCCAACTGTTGAAAATTAAATAACTTTGCCCTGTTTTAGGTTCACTACTAAAAATATATAGCTCTTTTTTCCCCCAACAGGAGTGCTAGTAACAGCAACAAAACAAGGCTCTATATTATGGATGTAATGAAAAACTCAGAGCAATACTGCCACAGTAAAAAGCCCACAATATATTTAATATAAAAAAAATGGATCAACAGTTTTTTTTTAATCCCCCTTACTGAATAATAAATCTGTGATTTTTATTATAATGTATATTTAAAAATGCAGCTGGAGCTTGTAACCAGAATAAGGCACACACAGTAGAAGAACAATGTTTTAGTACCCCTAGGTACTAAAGGGTTTAGATTTTGTCTGTTTGATGGCCATGCCAACTAGTATCCCCCCCGGACTGCTGGGGGCAGCATTAAGCAAATTATTGCTTGGAGCACTTTCCATCTGTCATTTCTTGAAACAGAAAAACTGAAATGCTGCCACACAACAAATACTTTATTCTGTCTGGTTTTAGATACTTGGAATTTGTTTCTCAAGATATGGGTGTGGTGTTTGTTCTTATGGTGTTTTGTTGCTGCTCTCCATTGCTGCTGGAACACAGAAATTTCCCCATTGTGGGATCAATAAAGTCCTGCCTACCTACCAACAGCTCTAAAAGGTGACAATGGAGCACCTGCTACTGTACGCAAGTTTCAAATTCTGCAATCTAAACAGTTATAGCAAAAGAACCAGATGTGATATCCTGGTACATACGTCACAGAAATTACAAAAACAAATTACAAATATCGTTACATCCCTAATGTATACCTATGACACCATCATATGACTGAAGTAACATCTCTCACCTTCCAAGAATGTCATTGAAGCGAGGTTCCAGCTCAATGTTGTACTTGTCAATGTAGTCATAGAGATCTTCAGTTCCCAGAACCTTCGCTATTCTCACCAACTATAGCAGAACAAAACAAGCAACAGTCAGTCTGTGAGCTCTCTGTAAGAGACTTGACCCCATTCAGGCACAAACCGACACTGATGCAAGATGAGCCTGTTACTGTTTTCAGAAATGCCATTCCATACATGTCAATGCTATAAAAACAGTACCTCGAGAGTAATGGGATAAAACACCACTTATACAGATGAGATGAAGCGATAGAGAAAAAATATTGGATTCACGTCTTCCTTCCTTGATTCATCTTGGAGGGCATGTTATAAGAAATCTGACAAGTGACTGAAAGCTCAGTAAGCATTTACTTTTTTTGACAAACTCAGAGAATGCAACATACACACCACAAGGTCTGTGGGGTGTCTGTTGCATTTTACTATTTAAAAGAAGTAAAGCTATTTATTATGCCTCAAAAAAATCTCGCTCAGACCAACAGCAAAACGTGTTTCTATACCATCTCTAATGATACATACCTAAGGCTAAATCAATTCAACCACTAAGATCAACACCCAAAATGATCATAAATTCAAATATCAGACATGGTGTGGCTTCTATAAAACAGGGTGTAAAAGCAGACAGGAGTTAAACAGGAGTGAAACTGAGCTGTGGCCATCAGATAAAGAAAAAATACCATTGTTACAAAATATAATAAGTACTGCTTGTACAAGTTGGATTCTTTGCAAACCAAGTATGATTATGAGTCAGTGATTTTTAAGCTTTAGCAACGCAAAAGCAAATTAAAACATCACATAGCCTGCCATTAATGCATTCCAATGAGAACTGTGTGGTTTCTAAAGTAGCCACAGCAAGTGTGTCCAAACTCATCAGATATTAGAGGGCTGAAGGTAACTAGCAGGATAATTTTACTCATCACCCAACCCTGCTTTGTGTTTACCTGATCATAATTGTCATGACCATGGAAGAAAGGCTCTTTCCTGAAGATCATGCTTGCCAACATACAGCCAAGGCTCCACATATCCAGACTGTAATCATACATCTGAAACACACACAGTACTAGTCTCAGAGCACACATCAGAAAACAGAGAAATGCACTTCCATGAAACCACGCCAGACACCATTAATGAGCATTGATCCATCATGAAAATAAAGAGGCATAATTTATGCATTCCTTCTAGCAATCACAAAAAAGGCATCTGATCTTGTTTGAACCTGCCAGTACAGCACAAGTCACTTAGTGGGGTTCTGATAACACCAAGGATGCCAGTTTGTAAAGACTGGTACAGTATTGTTCAAAATAATAGCAGTACAATGTGACTAACCAGAATAATCCAGGTTTTTAGTATATTTTTTATTGCTACATGGCAAACAAGTTACCAGTAGGTGCAGTAGATTCTCAGAAAGCAAACAAGACCCAGCATTCATGATATGCACACTCTTAAGGCTGTGCAATTGGGCAATTAGTTGAAAGGGGTGTGTTCAAAAAAATAGCAGTGTCTGCCGTTGACTGTACAAACACAAAACTATTTTGTACAAACGTTTTTGTTTCTAGGATTTAGCAATCCTGTGAATCACTAAACTAATATTTAGTTGTATGACCACAGTTTTTTATAACTGCTTCACATCTGTGTGGCATGGAGTCAACCAACTTGTGGCACCTTTCAGCTGTTATTCCACTCCATGATTCTTTAACAACATTCCACAATTCATTTACATTTCTTGGTTTTGCTTCAGAAACAGCATTTTTGATATCACCCCACAAGTTCTCGATTGGATTAAGGTCCGGGGATTGGGCTGGCCACTCCATAACATTAATTTTGTTGGTTTGGAACCAACACTTTGCTCGTTTACTAGTGTGTTTGGGGTCATTGTCTTGTTGAAACAACCATTTCAAGGGCATGTCCTCTTCAGCATAAGGCAACATGACCTCTTCAAGTATTTTGACATATGCAAACTGATCCATGATCCCTGGTATGCGATAAATAGGCCCAACACCATAGTAGGAGAAACATGCCCATATCATGATGCTTGCACCACCATGCTTCACTGTCTTCACTGTGTACTGTGGCTTGAATTCAGAGTTTGGGGGGCGTCTCACAAACTGTCTGTGGCCCTTGGACCCAAAAAGAACAATTTTACTCTCATCAGTCCACAAAATGTTCCTCCATTTCTCTTTAGGCCAGTTGATGTGTTCTTTGGCAAATTGTAACCTCTTCTGCACGTGCCTTTTTTTTAACAGAGGGACTTTGCGGGGGATTCTTGAAAATAGATTAGCTTCACACAGACGTCTTCTAACTGTCACAGTACTTACAGGTAACTCCAGACTGTCTTTGATCATCCTGGAGCTGATCATTGGCTGGGCCTTTGCCATTCTGGTTATTCTTCGATCCATTTTGATGGTTGTCTTCCGTTTTCTTCCACGTCTCTCTGGTTTTGCTCTCCATTTTAAGGCACTGGAGATCATTTTAGCTGAACAGCCTATAATTTTTTGCAAGCTATTTTTTTGAACACACCCCTTTCAACTAATTGCCCAATTGCACAGCCTTAAGAGCGTGCATATCATGAATGCTGGGTCTTGTTTGCTTTCTGAGAATCTACTGCACCTACTGGTAACTTGTTTGCCATGTAGCAATAAAAAAATATACTAAAAACCTGGATTATTCTGGTTAGTCACATTGTACTGCTATTATTTTGAACAATACTGTACACTTGATCTGTAGTTAGCAGATGAGAATATATGGTTTTGGAGTTTATGGTGGAGCTTGGCCTCTGTCTCTGCTGTGCTCTTTGGAATTTGACTGAGGACGGGGTTCAGCTCCTCCAACACACAGCGGTTGCAGAGGAGAATGTTACATTGGGTGAAGTGAAACAAATTACTCCAGTCAACAACAACTGGGCTTTTTACCATACATGCAATAAAACCTTGATAAGAGAGTAATTTGTCATTAACACTTATCAGACAATTAAAATCTCCCAAATACACCTGAATACCTGATAGTCCACCAGGAGCTCAGGTCCTTTAAAGTAGCGGGAAGCAACTCTGACGTTGTACTCCTGTCCTGGGTGGTAAAACTCTGCCAGACCCCAGTCAATAAGGCGCAACTACAGACAAAGAAAAACAGGAATATAAAATAAAACATATAAAAATAGGAATGAGGAAAAAGAACAAAAGTAAAGATATAAAAGTTAAACAAAAGGCTATGCATTGGCAATTATGGTCAAATGTGTTAAACAGTTATTTAATAATTCAGAAATCTTTTGTTTTGGCCAAAGGTACACAGTCAGTGACTGTGCTTATCACTCACCTTTCGGTGTTCATGATCAATCATCACGTTATGTGGCTTCACATCTCTATGCATGATTCCCATGCTGTGGCAGTAATCCAAGGCCTATAGAACAGAGCAAAGCAACTGTTATCCACTGATCAAAGCATCCTTCATCTCAGTAATCCAAAGCAGCAACAGATTACAAGCTGATGTTGCCTACTGGACAACACACAAACAGCCTATTACTGAATGAGAACCCAGGCGTGTACAAAAGCAAAGAACAAACATGAAAGACAAAACAAAACAGGTTTGTTTTAAAACTTCATAACAGTCTTGTTTAAGAACAATGCTGCACTCAGCATGCTTACAGGATACAAATTATGAGCTCAGAGGCAGATGAACCATGGAGAACTCACCTTGAGGATCTCGTACATGTAGAATCGAATGTCATAGTCTGTCAGGGTCTGGTACAGTTGCTGGAAATCAAAACAAAGTCATTAGTCTATCCATTTTAATATCCTAAAGTGAACAGACAGCACACACCCGTGAACAGTCACAAATCACTCACATTTACTGCTAGGACTGTACCAGTGACTGAAGATAAAACCAGAGGATGGTAGACTTTGTGGCACCAAAGATACACTGAACTTTTGTTTTCCTCCATCACATACATGTGTACAGGAAAAACAGCATGCAAAAAATAGGTTTTCATGCTCTTACACAACATTTTACAGTTTACAAGTAACATTTATAAGAGAAGGTTTAGTTCCTACCTTGAAGTCTGTGTTGTTGACATGTTCAAAAACCAAAGCAGGTGTCCTGGACTGAAAAAAAAAATGTAAATAAAATTGTAATTAATTTACTACAGTCTCATCTAACAAGATCTACCACTGATTTACCAAAGTTAAATTAATTGGTTACACTGAAACAAACAACGACGACGACATTGTAATATGGTACTGAATTAAAGCTAACACTGTATAAACTGGCACTGTGAGCAACACTATGGCCAAGAGTGCAATATTCCTGTCCTGTAGACAGGACGAAGCAGGGAAATGCTGCCACCGCGTAGACAGTCAGCAAACCACAAACTGTAACTAGCCCATCAGTTTTAAGTAATTCCAGTTCTTATTTTGAAGCTTATCAGCTGCACTGCTACTGGGGTGAACTATATCTGTTCATAATTTCAAAATAGTGATTAACTGACTAACAGACACAGAGAAGTAAAGATGGCGCCACTGTATTTGGCCAGCCGCCTCCTCCTACTATGTGTGTTTAGTTTTGTTATATGTGACACTGCCTCCGTCTTCTCTGTATTAGTATATGATCACCTGACTCTTTTGGAAATACGTAACTCAATGTTTAGTTGTCCTAGTATCCACCGAGGCGATCAATCTAAGCTTCCACCACCTCCGCTGGCGTTCATACTTCCTTTCCTTCGACGCTCGGCTGGCCCTCTCCTGGGCAGATTTTGATTTTGAGACGACGCGGCAGGATAAGCCAAGCCCGCATCACTTTGCTCTCTTTAACATAAGATCACTTAAAAACAAAACTTTTATTCTTGATGATTTTATTTCGTCGTACGATCTGGATGTATTTTTAATCACTGAAACCTGGCTGAAACAAGGTGATAGTCTTTTCTCTGAGTTCCTTCCGGCTGATTACCTGTTTTTTTAACACCCTACGCCTCGCTGGTAGAGGCGGCAGCTTGGCATCTGTTTTTAAGCCGACCCTAAAATGTCGCCTACTCCCTTCCAAGGCCTACTCCAGCTTTGAGCTACAAACTTTTATTGTACCGCTGCACTGTCCTGTTTTATGTGCAGTCATATACCATCCTCCTAAATCCAAGGACTTTATTAATTTGGGGAACTCTTGGCAGCACTTATTACATAATTTGACAGCCTCCTGATTTGTGGAGATTTTAACATTCACTCATCAATGTGGGGGCACACTGGACTTCGTCATCTCACTAGGTTTGTCTGTGTCCATTGGGGATCTATCAAACCTGGCCATTTCTGCCCACTTCTTCATCCACTTCAAAGTCCTGGCGTTGTCAAGTGCACCTAGACACATGGCCCCATGCAAGCATCGCAGGATTATTACTCCTTCAACGGCTCCGGACTTTGCTGCTGCTTTTCTAGCCTCTGATTTCTACTCCTCAGTAGCTCTGAACTCCCCTATGTGCCCCGACGTCCTCTCTTCGTTTGATTCTACTTGCTCCCGGATTATGGATTCCATCGCTCCCTTTAGATAGATGAAAACTAGGAACACTCCTGACCCATGGCTGAATGACACCAGCTGTGCCCTGCGGAGACGCTGCATGTCCTGCATGTCTCCCTGGACATTTTAAGGGACAGCCTGGTCTCATATCAGAAAGCTGTAAATGATTCTAAAACCCAGTATTTATCTAGTATCATTTCGAATAACAGTCAGCATCCCAGAGTTCTTTTCAATACCATTAATTCGGTTATTAACCCTGTTGTTGCTTTGGCCACCGAGGGGTCGGGTCTGTCCTGTAAGGAGTTCCAGAGTTATTTCAGTGACCAAGTCTGGGCTATTAGACAAAGTATTCCCAAGCTTCCACCTTCTATACCACCTGTATCTCAGTCAGTGTTTACTCTGGAAACCTTTAATCCCATCTCTCTGCCTCAACTCAAAAAATGTGTGTTACAGCTAAAGTCTGCATCCTCCCCCCTGGATCCTGTCCCAGCCAGGATAATTAAGGAGGTCATTGACACTGTGGGGCCCACTCTGCTCATATTAACTCCTGTCTTAGGTTGGGCACGGTCCCCTCCACTCTTAAGCATGATATAGTGAGGCCACTTCTCAAGAAGCCCAACCTCGACCCCTCCCTTCTGTCCAATTTTCGGATGTTGTTAATAAGTTTCAATCAGGCTTTAGTCTTTTATTTATTTATTTTTTAAATGTTATGTAATATGTAGGGCTGTACCCAACTAAGAATTTTACCAGTTTACTCGGATTCGGGTGTTCAGTGCAACTATCTTGCCTATAGTGTCAGAAAATCAACTGGCATTTCACAAATGATTTTGACCACATTAACATCAGCATTCCAATTCAAAAGAGTGATGGGAACACATTTGAGCATTTACAAATCAATAAAAGACAACTGCATATGATGCACGATTTAAATTGCAACCTATTTAAACTTGACAATGCAGTGGAACCTCGGTTTTTGTATGATTCGGTTTTCGACGCCCTTTTGTCCCAGTTTTCATACATCCGCTCGGTTTTCATACAGTTGATTGGTCAGTTCAGTGTCACTGCCATTGTTTTTTGTGCTTGTTGTGACTGCTAAATAAACCACCATGGGGCCAAAGATAACCCCGGATAGGGCCTTGATACATGATGTCCTTATGGAGGGGATTCCCCTTCCAAACAATAACCTCTCCTCCTCTCTCTCCCCTCCTTGCCGTCTTCCATATAACAAAAAAAAGTCTAAAATAAAGGTAAAAGTGATGTTAAATGTTCATTTATCCATTTCATTAGTCATTCATGTTTATTTCTCATTGTTTTCTGTATGTAAAAATATAGTTTTTCCTCTATAAAATGTATTTTTTGTTAATATTTTTGGGTGGCTGAAATGGATCAATTGGATTTACATCATTTCTTATGGGAAATATTGATTCAGTTTTCGTACATTTGGTTTTCGGCGGACTTTTTCAAACAGATTAATCACGAAAACCGAGGTTCCACTGTATATGGATTTGTCAGAATTATGAGACAGGCAGCACACTTGTATTTCTGTTTAAACAATGCTCTTATAGTCAAATATTTCTTGAGACATGCTATTAACCTGTCAATAAACAAGTCACAACCATCCAACACCCCACCAGGGGTTTCATGTTGAGTTCTCTCTCATTTTTTCACCAGTCCCTTCACCCGACTGTGAATACTAAGAACATAATGGCTCGCTGTTATTGTCTGCCATTTAAAATAATGCTGTTGATTAATTCACCCTTGGTTAAATTTACCTATTCTTTGTGGTGGTTGGACTGCAGTGGAAACACAAAGAGGGCTGCGCTAATGAGATAGAGCTTCTCGTTTTGTTCCCAACTTTAGTTTTCTGGTTCCACATCTCCTGGATTCCTGGAACATGTTTATTAAAACAAAACTAACTTTTTGATCCCCCAACGGGAGTCAGACTCACATATTTGTTACTCTAGAAGCGTTGTGCTGCTCTCAGTGCACTGTTGTTTCACTGGATTCCTGTGTTGTATCAAGGCTCTGACGCAGCACAGGAATACATGATTGTATACTGCTTAGGTACACCTAACTTCAAGCCATAGCTTGCTGATTACTTACAGACACATACTTCCACAGCCCAAGTGAAATCGATAAACTTGCACCGGTGGTGGGCTCACCACGCTATTGGTACAGCAATGATATTTCAGCATGCCAACAAACAGATTATGCTTTTATAAAATGTAAATCAAGTATAGTCAGGTTCACAAATAATGGAACAATGACAAGTTTTTGACATTTGGCAACAAATGATCAAATGGCTGACAAGCACTTGCATGATCAGGTGTGCCTTGTTCCCTTGTTATACCATGACTAATCAAGCAGTTAAAAGGACTAAAGGCAGTTCTGAGCATTACATTTGCATTTGTTAGCTGTTCACTGGAATTTCAACATGAGGTCCAAAAAGGTATCTATGCAAGTGAAGGAGGCCATGATTATGCTGGAAAAAAAACTAAATAAAACCATCAGAGAGATAGCAAACACAAGGGAAGCAACCAATATAACAATCTGGAACATTCTTAAAAAGGAGGAATTAACAGGTAAGCAGGAAGACCATGAAAGACAAATAAAGTGGATGACCACAGAATTCTGCCCATGGTGAATCAGAACCTGTTCACAACATCTAGCCAAGTCAAGCACAAACTTAAGGCAGGCATGTCATTATCAAAGTCTACAGTGAAGAAACTGCATTATGAATGTAAATATAGAGGCTTCACAACAAGGTGCAAACCCCTGGCAACACTCATGAATAGACAGGCCAAATTAGACTTTACCAGAAATTGGTTGGGTATCATTTGTGGGCTTTTTTTTAATCAATCTTCTCCCACAAATCCACTTCCAAACCATAGATTCATTGATTTTGAATTCTTTTGCAGCTGCTCTATTCCCATTTACAACCGCGTAACTGATAGCCTGTAGTTTGAATTGTGCCTCGTAAGCATGTCTCTTCACTGGTGCCATTTTCAGGGGTCCTTAGACCGGTTTAGACTGGTTTATCGCTGCCAGCGTACGTAGTGTACGTATTATGTCCCTGTGTCAACGGGAAAAGGTCCGACAGTCAATCAAGCAGAGCGCTTACCAAAGTCGCACAACAACATTTTTACAGATTTTGGAACTCAGTGCACACATAAGGCACACCGGATTATTAGGCGCACAGCCGATTTTTGAGAAAATTTAAGGCTTTTAGGTGCGCCTTATAGTGCGGAAAATACAGTACTTATTTGCCCCACTTTATGTGTCCATAACTTATGCATACAGCCTGAGTAGTAAAGTTCCAAACTAGAGTAAAATGAAGATGCTTGTAGAATGGTTAAAGGGAAACATGCAGAGATAGTATAGTAGCTGTGGACCTTTATTATAATTTGGATAGTAAATGGTATTATCTGTGCACATTTAGACTAAGGCAAACTAAGCTCTTGTTACTTTGCTGATGTTGCCTAAGATCAAGGGTCAGAAAAATCATGGATGTATTAAGAAGAAAACAGAGGAAAGGATGTTTAAGTTCTCCTTATTACTCTGATGTAATAATTCTATTCATCTGGCATCATGATGACAGAATGACGAGCATCACTTCTAGCACAGTGAAAACTAAAGATAGCGGTTTTCACTTGGCTTTTAGTACTGACAATATTATTGCTTATTTAACATATGCTATATTTCAAATAGCACAGAAAACACAGTACATAACGTTTTACACCTTCTGAGTTTTCTTACAGCTTATGGACAGAGCCAAATATTACATCCTTCGAACTGCTTATCCAGTAAAACTTAAGGGAAACCTTATTGTAGCACCACTAGTTTGACTGCGCATTCTGAGCTAAAAATAGCACAAAGATGTAGTGAACGTAAGGCACAGAGGTTTACCAACAGTTTGTAAAATCATTACCAAGCAGTGTTAAAGAGAGAATAACATTAAATTCTACAGGGTGAGCAGCTTAATTATGCGCCATTCTCCTTAATACATCCATAAACGCACACCTACGCGACTGACTGAACATGAACGACCATTTACAGAGATCGCTGCTCAAATGTGAGGGATCTGATGAGCGCACACCAGCCACTGTGACCATGTAATTCTGACAGATACACAGGACATCACGACCAGATGCCAGGGCAACTATGGCTGTCCTGAAATTTATACCCAGCATAAAATGAAGGTTGATGACATTAAAAAACATTCCCATTCATTCCCAGCTCCGACTTCCAAGCTCCCAGGTAAATGAAACGCTGCATAAGTGCAATGACAGCATTAGCACGTAACCTGCAGTGATGCCTCTGTTGCCTGTACCATCCATTTCACAGCAACAGATGACAAATACTTCAATCAAAAGACATTTAAGTGGTACCAAAATAAGACACTTAAAACTGCATTGTGATTCAGTTTGGTAGATAGATTATATAGGAACCAATGCCAATATGGTTTCAGTACCCACCCCTAGTCAGAAAACACCTCTATAAATAAATTTAAAAAGAGCCTGACAAGGTCTAGATTAAGACTCTTTGGACTGATGAAACCAAGATTAATTTGTACCAGAATGGGGGGAAGAGAAAAGTATGGAGAAGGAAGGAACAGCTCATGATTCAAGGCATGCCACATCATCTGTCAAACATGGTGCAGGCAGTGTTATGGCATGGGTGACTGCCAATGGAACCAGGTTAGTGGCATTTATTGATGATCTGATTGCTGATAAAAGTAGCAGGATGAATTCTTAAGTGTATGTGGCTCAGATTCAGCTAAATGCTGCAAAACCGATAGGATGCTGCTTCATATTGGAGATGGATAATGAGCCAAACCATACAGTGAAAGCTGCCTAAGGCAAAGAAATTGGATATTCTTCACTGGCCAAGCAAGTCACCCGATCTTAACCCAACTGAGCATGCTTTGCACTTACTAAAGACAAGGGTGAAGGCAGCCACAACCAAGCAGCACCTGAAGGTAGCTGCAGTTAAGGGCCTGGCAAAGAATCTTGAGGGATTAAACCTGGAATTTAGTCATGTCCATGGGTTCCAACCTTCAGGCAGTCATTGACTGAAAAGGATTGTAATTCCAAGTATTAAAGGTAATCCTTATGTTTGCAATTGTGTTAGCCTGTTCAATTATTTCTGAGCCACCAAAAAACCGAGGTGCATTTATGAAAATGGCTGTAATTCCCAAATGGTTAATGCCATACTTTTGTCAAACCCCTTAAAGCTGAAAGTCTTGACTTCGCTCACATCTTGAGTGTTTATTTCATATTCTGTGTAGTGGTGTACAGAAGCCAAATGCCAAAAAACTTATCACTGTACCAATATTTATAAACCTGACTGTACATTATTTTAATATGGCATCTGCTATACTTCAAATATACTGTACTTACTACAGGGTCTTTCACAATATCAATGAGGGAGATTATGTTAGGACCTCCACGAAGGTTCTCCAAAATCTTAATCTCACGCTTGATTTTCTTTTTCTTCACGGGCTAAAGAGAAGAAAAAAAAAAAGACAGATGGACAGAAGTTAAAATCTGATCCTTCGATCACAGCCGCAGATTTAATCTATAGGCCTCTGTCTTTCTAGATTTACCTTGAGTATCTTCACCACCACCTTCTCATTATTGGTGATGTTGATTGCCTCAAAGACTTCACTGTACTTGCCACGCCCAAGCTTCCGCACCAGCTGAAAGTCATCTTGATTTCTGTGAAAGAAAAAAAAAAACAAACATCAGCAGAGTTGGAGAGGTGCAAAGCAGCACAATGTCAATGTGGTGTGAATGTCAGCAAGGTATTTACCCCCATTCAACCACATGGGACTCATAGTCCCAATACTCCCTGGGCCGGTGAGTGTTGACTTCAGTGTACACTCGGGCCCGGCTCGGCACGGGTCCTGACATGTCAGACAGCTTGGCAGCGATGATGGAGAGATGTTACTATAGCAAAGGGCGGTTGAAGTGCAGGGAGGATGGGGAGGGAGAAGAGGAGGGAAGGAAGGGGAAGAGAGACCCCAATAGGACTATGAGTTTGGGGGGAGGGGAAGGGGGTTTGCCTGAGGATGGGGGGAGGGTCCACCAGGGGCACGGTGGGATAGCTAAAAAAGAAGTTGGGAGACAAAATCAGAGATTAGAGAACTTGAATTTTGGATTCATACTGCTTTGGATTCATACTGCTGTCACTGTGTTGAATTACCTTCACCACAGCGCACACAGTGTTGGAATTTACAATCTGATTTATCCTTTGTCACTAAAACCACTAGTTGACAGTGAGGACAACACTTAGCTGACTGATGAAAGACTAATGAGCCCTTTAACTGCCTGTATCATTTGTGAATTGCAGCGTGTTCTTTTATGAAGAATAACCGGAGTCAAATATCACCTTTCAAACATTTATTATCATAACTCAATGGACCTTCGAATAAAGCAATTTACAGAGCTCTGGGTTCCATCACAGCTTCTCGGTGGCAAGGCACCGGGGGTGGATGAGATCCGCCCTGAGTACCTTAAGTCTCTGGATGTTGTTGGGCTGTCTTGGTTGACACGCCTCTGCAACGTCGCATGGCGGTCGGGGACAGTGCCTCTGGACTGGCAGACCGGGGTGGTGGTCCCTCTTTTTAAGAAGGGGGACCGGAGGGTGTGTTCCAACTATAGGGGGATCACACTCCTCAGCCTCCTCGGGAAAGTCTATGCCAGGGTACTGGAGAGGAGAATTCGACCGATAGTCGAACCTCGGATCCAGGAGGAACAATGCGGTTTTCGTCCTGGCCGTGGAACACTGGACCAGCTCTATACCCTCTTCAGGGTGG